CTGGACCCGGGGGGCCGTCCCGGGCGCTCATCGGTCTCCTGCCGCGGCGGGAGCGCCGGCTGGGTGGGCGAGCGGGACGCTGCGACGCCGAGCCCAGCGGAGACACGGGTCGATCCGCACGCTTCTCACCTCCCGCAGGCCCGGAGGAAGGGTCCCCGCCGCCCGGGCTCCGCCGGGTGCGGTGGGAGGCTCCGCCCGCCCCTCCAGTCCCCTTGTTGGCGCGCGGCGTCGGGTGTCCGGGGGAGGGGGCGGCCTCTGCCTCCGGCTTTGTTTGGATTCCCGAGGGGAACCCCAGCGCAGTGGAGACAGCACCCCCTCCCCCGCCCCTGCCCCCGCCTGGGAACCGCCGGGGAAGAGCCCTGGGGGGTCGGGAAGGACCAGGTGCTCAGAGGCCCTTGGGACATCGTCCCCAGTTTTCAGAGCCCGAGGGTTTCCTTGGAGAACTCAAGCGGGAGTGACTGTCTCCAGGCAGAGATGTTCTGGGTCCGCAGGGTCGGCACCCCATCCCCCAAAATTTGGCGAGATCCCTGCTCCCCTCAATTGCTCCTCCATTATCTGAGCGGGAAAGGGAACTGGGAGACCCCTGTCTTCCTCAGGCTTACTCTGGTCTGGCCCAGTAATGTTGCTCTCACCTGTCACCCCAAAAGAGGGAGCGCCGGAGCCCCTGGATGGAGTCCTACTGTAGGGAGAACGGAAATCTGATGACCTGAAAAAATTTACCTGGGCAGGACGGCTCAAGAGGAGGATTCCTGGAGACCCGGGTTCTATTCAGCCTCTGCCGGTCACTTTGGGCGGGGCTCTGCCGCTCCCTGATTCCGGCCTTCTCGGTGCAGAGTGGATGTGTTGGAGCGGGTCACCTGGGATGTCCAGGATGGCAGTGGCATAGGAGGTCAAGAGGATCCTGCAGGCCCCCCGCCGCCCCCACCCCTCACCTGCCCTCCATCTTCTCTTATCTGAGCTGGGTTGTGGTCAGGTCCCAGCTTTCCCTCAGCTCCAGGCTTCTGTGGAAGCTACTTTGGTGTTGAATTAACTGACTCAGGGGATGAGGAAGCTGATAAGATTTGGTGGCCCCATATGGTGTGCATGTTCCTGCTGGGGTGCAGTATATAAACTGCATAGGAGGCAGCAAGCTTGGGTTCTCCTTACCGCTGTGGGGCTCACCTTGCGGAAATCCCTGGCTCTCAGTTTCCTCGTTTGTAAAGGGGATGGGGGGAGGTCAGTGGTGACAGAGTAAGCCTCTATGTCCAAAACATCCAGGAGACTGTGGTTCTATATATACGAGCCTGGAGCCAGTCCTTAAGAGCACAGGCTGGTTCCACAATTTCTCGGCTGTGTGATGTCCAGCAAGTTACTCATCCTCTCTGAGCCTCCGTGTCATATTCTGTGCAATTGGGATGATACTGACCGCAGAGAGCTCCATAAGAATTAAATGATGGAACGTAAAGAAAGTGCTTAGTATAGTGCCAGACACATGGTGGAAATATTCAACAAATAGTTGCTATGATTGTTGATGATGGAATTGTTATTATTGCATTAGAAATTCTTTCAGGCTTTCCTGAGTTCTACCCTTTTTCAGTAATTTCAGACCTAGTCATTGAACAAAACTCATTGTTGATGTTCTAGTAACCTAATTCACGAGGTCCAACCTGTTCCAAATTCCTTGGAGGACCAGAGGCCCGGGAGGATGTAAAGGCCTGCCTAACAAGAGCTTTGACACTATGGCATGTGGAATGTCATGGAATGACATTCTGTGTGGAATGCCATCTGCCATGGTCTTGAACTAATGTGGATGATCCACTTGGCTCAGATAATTTATAAACCCCAAGTAAGCATTCAGGTGGGTCGGGTTGAGGATTTGAACCCCTATAAGTTGAGACTTAATAGATGAAGAAGAAATGTGGTGTTAAGAACAACCCCTTCCCATAGGGGCTATTACATCAAGCACAGGTGCTTAGGGAATAGCCAGGTAGAGGGGCCCTGGCCCTTCTGGAAGAGTGGCTCATGGGGGCAAAGAGGAGTCCCTGCTGAGTCAGCAGAAGGGCAAGCTCTCAGTCCCTTCTGCTCCCAGGTTCTCTTTATCCCTGCGAGGGAGGCTGGATGGCAGGGTTTTTAACAGAGGAAAGCAGAACACAGCAGAGGGCCAAGCTGTTGGCTGAGACAAGAACCTCTAAGATGTGTCCCCCCAGCCCTGCTCCTTATTACCTGAAAGATGTTGCAAAAGTCGTTCCCTTCTCTGGACTCCCCTTTTCCCATTTGTACCACGGGCAGGAGAAGGCTGGCCTCCACCTTGGCGGGAGGTGAGACACAGCCTTTCTGAAGATCTCTCTGAGCCTGCATTTCCCCTTCTGGAAACTCGGGTTAATAAATCAGTCTGGTAGTTGCAGGAAACAGACCCCTACTCTGGCTAGTGTAAGCAGAAAAGTCCTTTGTTAAAGGGAGGGTGGGCTGCTCTCGAGATCTCAGGAGGCAGGCCCAACACTGCAGCGTTAGTCTGGTGTCAAAACCACTACTGCCACCCCCGGGGTTAGATGCTGAGGCCAGCGCCCCTGGGCAAGGATACTGGACACGGCCATCAGGACCATGGCTGCCTCTGAAGCCAGAGGTGGCACTGCTGCCGCTGCCGCATCCTCGACAGAATGCATCCTGTGTGCTTTTGGCTTCCTCGTGTCACCAGTTTCTAATTCACAGTCAAGAATGGGCATGTCCGATTGGAGGCGCACACATCAGGTCCTCTGCCAAAGCTTCAAGGGAGGCAAGGAAAAGGTGTTTTCAGTTCCTCTAGTGGGAGGTGGGCTCTGCCTCATATGAAGGGCGTGTCAGATGCTGGTGGCCAAAAGAGTGACAAGTGCCCACTTCAGATAACAATGGACTTGTTGTGGAACTGCTGTGAGATGATGCTCATGGGCACTTAACTCAGAGCCTGGCATGGAGGGAACACACGATCCCTGGTCGCTGAGATTCATAGCACACCGCAAATCTACAGTGTCAACCGATGGTGCCCCTACATACTTCAGTCTTTGATTTTTTAGCAGGTGAAAGACAAAAGGACCTTGAAAACAGTATGGCTTGCTGCCCTTCCAGATGCAGAGGCAGCTCCGGTCCCGTTGCCAGGAGGACAGGTGACTGGGTTTTTCCATTGTGGTGATGAATTGGGCTGAGTCACCATCCTGCTCCAGTCCCCTTGTGACCATGACTGGGAGTAAGTGAAAAGAACTAGCAGGTGGAGTTGGGGGCGCACAGGAGCCTGGGGCCATGGAAGCTTCCTCTCTTAGCAGAAGGAGGGTGAGCAGGAACTGTCCCCCCTCATCCCCCCCATTAACACCCCTCACTCACTAATCACGAGTCAGATGACCTCAGGGAGAGACGAGCGGATCCTTTCTCTTCTTTCTAGGATTGGGTGAGTGCCTTTTTCGTGCCCAGCCCTGTGCTGTGGCATGCATTGGAGAACCAGAGCTGACCAGTGACCTTTAAGGTTTATGCACTGATGGAGGAAACCAGCTCAGAGTCCCATAATCTAGGTACTGGGCACACTCTGCTAAGATGTGCAATTGAGATTACCATGCAGTACAGTGGGGGGCCTGGAGGGATCAGCGAGGGCTTCCCGAAGGAAGAGGCATCTGAGCCTGCAGAGAGGTGGAACTTCAGCAGATAGAGATGGGAAAGAGAGTGATTGGGGGATAGCAGCATCCATCCGTCCGTCTGTCCGTCCATCCATCCATCATACGTTGGGTCAGCCAAGCCATGACCTAAGCTCGGGGAGGCACAGAGCTCAGCACGCTGAAGCCCTGCCCCCGACAGGAGCTCGGGGATTGAGGTGGAGAATGCTGGGCATATGTGAGCAGATGGTGAGGAAGCTGGGACCAGCAAGTGGGCAGGGGTGAGTGCCTGGCCCCAGCCTGGCTCTGGAATTTCACCAGCCACCAGATTGTCTGCTCCCTGCTCCTGGGCCACCTGGACCACTCACTGACTATGTTGCCACCCCTTTTCTCCCACAACGTGTCAAGACCCTCCTCCCTCGAGGCCAGCCCTTTGCTCTCCAGGTAACTCGAGACACCCACTGTCTGCTCTCCCATCCCAGAAGACAGCAGACCCCCTCCAGTTCCCTTTGAAAATGCCCCTCTACCTCCGCTGGAAGCTGCACCAGACACATGAAGCCCCAGTCTGTGTTGAGTCAAGGCAAGGGGTGAACCTGATAATATTTTTTTAAAATTCCAATAGTCATATATACTCAATGCAGAAA